GTCGTATTGCAAACCATTGTACTTTCTCCCATATCTTGACGTGCTTGATCAGGTGTGGGTTCCATACTGGTGCTGCATACTCGAATATGGGCCTGACGTACACGATGACAGTGTCATGGTTTGCCAGGCGGCCATATGCTGCAGCAGATATTTGATGTGCGAATCAGGGGACATGCTCGGTATAATGCTCACCCCAAGATCCATTTCCTTAAATGAGGTTTGCAGCCTTTGATCCCCCTAGTCTGTACTCTGTCTCTGGTCCTCTTTGTCCTTCCCCAAGATTCATAACTTTGCAGATTGAAGATTGAGACACTTATGCAGCATATGGGAATCTTTATTCAGGAAACGTTTCGCCACACAGTGGCTTCATCAGTCCAATACAAAGAGGAAGGCGTAAGGAGAGGAGGAGTATGAGGTAATCAGTCCCTCAGCCTGGAGTCGATGTGTTCAGTCCATCAATCTTGTAGAATGTACAGCATAGGGCCGTAGACGTGGCTTATATACTGTAGTGAGGTGACTTGAAGCAGACGGAGGCGGGATCATAGTGGTACCATCCACTAGTCGAAGTAGGTCTTTGTCCAAAGGTTGAACAAGCGTACATTCTGTACGCTTGTACAATGCTGTACATTCTACAAGATTGATGGACTGAACACATCGACTCCAGGCTGAGGGACTGATTACCTCATACTCCTCCTCTCCTTACGCCTTCCTCTTTGTATTGGACTGATGAAGCCACTGTGTGGCGAAACGTTTCCTGAATAAAGATTCCCATATGCTGCATAAGTGTCTCATAAGAACATAAGAACATAAGAAAGGAGGAACACTGCAGGAGGCCTGCTGGCCCATACTAGGCAGGTCCTTTACAATTCATCCCACTAACAAAACATTTACCCAACCCGATTTTCAATGCTACCCAAGAAATAAGCTCTGATGTGAAAGTCCCACTCAAATCCAACCCTTCCCACTCATGTACTTATCCAACCTAGATTTGAAACTACCCAAAGTCCTAGCCTCAATAACCCAACTAGGTAGACTGTTCCACTCATCAACTACCCTATTTCCAAACCAATACTTTCCTATGTCCTTTCTAAATCTAAACTTATCTAATTTAAATCCATTACTGCGGGTTCTCTCTTGGAGAGACATCCTCAAGACCTTATTAATATCCCCTTTATTAATACCTATCTTCCACTTATACACTTCGATCAGGTCTCCCCTCATTCTTCGTCTAACAAGTGAATGTAACTTAAGAGTCTTCAATCTTTCTTCATAAGGAAGATTTCTGATGCTATGTATTAATTTAGTCATCCTACGCTGAATGTTTTCTAACGAATTTATGTCCATTTTGTAATACGGAGACCAGAACTGAGCTGCATAATCAAGGTGAGGCCTTACAAATGATGTATAAAGCTGCAGTATGACCTCTGGACTTCTGTTGCTTACACTTCTTGATATAAATCCCAGTAATCTATTTGCCTTATTACGTACGCTTAGGCATTGCTGTCTTGGTTTAAGGTTGCTGCTCACCATAACCCCCAAGTCCTTTTCGCAATCTGTATGGCTAAGTTCTACATCATTTAATTTATAAGTACTAGGGTTATGGGCACTCCCAAGCTTCAGAACCTTGCACTTATCTACATTGAACTGCATCTGCCACTTTTCTGACCAAGAATAGAGTTTGTTTAAATCCTCCTGAAGTTCCCTAACATCTACGTTTGAATCAATTATCCTACCTATGTAAAGTAAAAGGACACCTATCTTTGTGTCATCGGCGAATTTGCTCATATCACTAGTAATTCCCTCATCAAGATCATTGATATATATTATAAACAACAACGGGCCCAAGACTGATCCCTGTGGAACGCCACTTGTTACAGATCCCCACTCGGATTTAACCCCATTTATGGACACTCTCTGCTTCCTGTCAGTGAGCCATGACTCGATCCACGAGAGCACTTTTCCCCCAATGCCATGGGCTGCCACTTTCTTTAACAGTCTATGGTGCGGAACTCTATCAAAAGCCTTACTAAAATCTAAGTAAATAATATCAAATTCTTTATTGTGGTCAACAGCCTCAAAAGCTTTACTGAAGAAAGTTAATAAATTAGTTAGACAAGACCGGCCTCTTGTGAATCCATGCTGAGTATCATTAATCAAGCTATGCTTATCGAGATGGCTTCTTATAATCTCAGCTATAATTGACTCTAGTAATTTGCCTACAATTGAGGTCAGGCTTATTGGGCGGTAATTTGACGGTAACGACTTGTCCCCTGTTTTAAAAATAGGAGTTACATTAGCCATCTTCCACATATCAGACACTACACCTGTTTGAAGAGATAAATTAAAAATATTAGTTAATGGTTCACAGAGTTCCATTTTGCATTCCTTAAGAACCCTTGAAAAAACCTCATCAGGACCCGGCGACTTATTTTGCTTCAGTCTGTCTATCTGCCTCACAACCATCTCACTAGTGACTGTGATGTTACATAATTTATCTTCTTCTAGCCCACTGTAAAAATTAATTACTGGAATATTGTTAGTGTCTTCCTGTGTAAAAACTGAGAGAAAATAATTATTTAAAATCAAGCACATTTCATTCTCATTGTCAGTAAGGTGCCCATAGTTATTTTTAAGGGGACCTATCTTATCTCTAACTTTTGTTCTATAGACCTGGAAAAAACTTTTTGGGTTAGTTTTAGAATCCCTAGCAACTTTAATTTCATAGTCCCTTTTAGCTTTTCTTATCCCCTTTTTAATGTCCCTCTTAATGTCAATATACTGATTCATAAGATGACCCTCACCTCTTTTGATACGCCTATAAATTCCTTTCTTATGCCCTAGTAGATATTTGAGCCTATTATCATCCATTTTGGGTCATTTCTATTTGATCTAATTTCTTTATATGGGATATAAACGCTCTTTGAGCAGCATGTATAGTGTTCAGAAAACTGTCATATTGATAGCTCTCTTCGTTACCCCAGTCAACAGATGATAAGTGTTCTTTAAGCCCTCGTAATCTGCTAAGCGAAAATCTGGGACTGTTACTGAGTTATCGCTACTATCGTACTTCCATTCAATGCTAAATGTAATTGATTTGTGGTCGCTAGCACCCAGTTCCTCTGAAATTTCTAAATTTATTAACAAGGGATTCATTGTTTGCCATAACTAAGTCAAGCAGGTTATTTCCCTTGTAGGTTCTGTCACAAACTGCTTCAAAAAACAATCCTGAAATACTTCTAAGAAGTCGTTTCGATTCTAAATTCCCAGTCAAGAAATTCCAATCAACATGACTAAAGTTAAAGTCTCCTAGAATTACTACATTATCGTGCCTTGTGGCCTTAACAATTTCCTCCCATAGTAGTTTCCCTTGGTCCCTATCTAAGTTAGGGGGACGGTATATCACTCCTAAAATCAGTTTTTCATGCCCTCTGAAAAATTCTATCCAAACAGACTCTGTATGTGTTACTTCAGACTTAATACCCGTTTTTATGCAACAGTTCAAGCGATCTCGGACGTACAATGCCACCCCACCCCCCCTCCCAATACTTCTATCTTCTTGGAACAATTTAAAAACCCTGAATAGACATTCCGCAGGCACGTCCCGACTTTTTGAATTAAACCACGTCTCAGTTAAGGCAAATACATCAATGTTACCTACACTAGCAACTAATCTCAACTCGTCCATCTTATTCCTAGCACTACGGCAATTAGCATAATAAACATTGAAAGACTCTCCTTTCTCTTTACCCTTCCTGCTCATTTCTATTTTTCTACTAAACCTATTACCGTCTTATCACCCAAGGTCCTGGCTTTTCAATATCTATCTCGTTCTTATTATTACTAGTTCCCCTAGAACTCGTAATATTACTACACTGGGACTTCACTGTTTTCCTGCCAAAAACCCATACCACTAACTATTCCTAGTTTAAAGTCCTAACTGCTCCCTCCACTGCAGTTGCCAGTGCTCCCACCCCACACCTAGATAAGTGAACCCCATCCCTAGCATACATGTCATTTCTGCCATAGAAGAGGTCCCAGTTGTCAATGAATGTTACCGCATTTTCCTTACAGTATTTGTCCAGCCAGCAATTGACAAACCCAATTGCCCTGGACAACCATTCACTTCCAACTCCCCTCCTTGGCAAAATACCACATATGAGAGGGTTCCCACCCTTACTTCTAATTATTTCTATTGCTGACCTATACCTGCTAATCAGGTCCTCACTCCTACGTCTGCCAACATCGTTGCCTCCAGCACTGAGACAGATAATAGGATTGCTCCCATTACCTCTCATGATGTCATCCAGACGGCTAACAATATCCTCCATCCCAGCCCCCGGAAAGCAACTCTCTGTCTCCTACTCCTGTCCTTCAAGCAGAACGCCCTATCCATATACCTAACTTGGCTTCCCCAACAACAACAATATTCTTACCTTCCTTAATGTCTTTCGTCGTGTCGTTCCAGTAGTCAACTCACATTCGTCGGGTAGCACTGAGAATGTATTGGATGTTTCCACAACAGTTTCCACGGCAGTCTCTTTCTTCTTCATCGTTTCTACCTTTCCATTCGTCTTCTTGATCGTCAACTTCTTTCCCTGCTGTCCAGCCACTGACCAGTTTCCCTTCTTGACCTGAGGACTCAAAACAGGAGGACTACTACGAATCTTCTTGTTCTCCTCGGTCAATCGCCGAATTTCCAAATTCGCCAACCTCAATTCTTCCTTAAGCTGTTGGTAAAGTTGCTCGATGGAGGGCATCTTGCTTCAATTCTAGAGAGCGCGCAAACAGGTCTTCACAGAGCCAAGTACACGTCAACACTGCGCAAATGCCAACTCAATCAGGAGCTACTGCGCAGCACGTCCGCACGGCCCAATAGCGATGCGAACAACTTGTCGGTTTTTCAAACCATTCATCACAACTTTGCAGATGTTGGGGTTAAACTCCAGAAGCCGTTTGTCGGACCAGGCTTGCAGCCTGTCCAGATCTCCTTGTAGGCTTACCTGATCCTCGTCCACCTGTATTCTCCTCATTCCTCACATCATCGGTGAGCAGGGACACCTCTGAATATAATCCTTCCATCATACCATTCACATACACAAGAAATAGCACCGGGTCTTGGACTGATCCTTGTGGAACCCCACTCGACGCATGGGCCCACTCTGACACCTCTTCACATACCAATATTCGTTGTTTTCTTCCTGTTAGGTATTCCATGATTCATTGCAGTGCTTTTCCAGCTATTTCTGCCTGTTCCTCTAGTTTTTGTACTAGTCTCTTGTGTGATTCTCTCTCTCTCTCTCCCTCTCCTCTCTCTCTCTCTCTCTCTCTCTCTCTCTCTCTCTCTCTCTCTCCTCTCTCTCTCTCTCCTCTCTCTCTCTCTCTCTCTCTCTCCAGTCTTCTGTTACCTTGTCTTAGAACTCTAGATTTTTGACACAGGATTTTTCATCCCTGAAGCCTTGCTGATTTTCATGTATGAGACCCGTCCTTTGTATGTGCTCCACCTCTCTTCCTCTGATAATCTATTCCACTACTTTACATAATATAAACCATACCACGGGCGGGGATAGAACCCGCGATCAGATAATCTCAAAACTCCAGACCGTCGCGTTAGCCACTGTCTGGAGTTTTAAGACACTCTGATCGCGGGTTCTATCCCCGCCCGTGGTATGGTGCAATCGTGTCATTACGATTTCGTGAATCATTTTACATAATATACATGTCAGTGACACTGGTCTATAGTTTAATGTTATGTATTTGTCTCCTTAAAAACTGGGCCTACATTTGTTGTCTTCCTTGCTGCTGCACCCTACTGCCTCTACTGGAAGTATTTTTGTCTTCATTGTGAATATTTCTTTAAATCTTGCACTAAACACTTCACATACTTCCTGGTCGATCCCTGTGAGCTCCCCTCCTTCCTTCCTCAACCAGAATATTTGGTCCTTAACTGTTGTTTTCCTCCTGATGTGACACTATAACTTTGGTTCAGATTTGGCTTTGGATGCTGTGTCATTCTCATACTGCCCCTGAACCTCTTTCTCATCACTGCATATTAATTATTAGTTTCTAGTTCTTTAGCTCAGATCTTTGTTTTCTTGAGTTCCTTGCCTTCTATACATTTTCCATGATCTACCACACTTGGCTTTGGCCTCCAGGTAAACCATGGGCTCACTCATTTTTTCTATTTCCCCCTTGGTAACAGAAAAGAGTGAGTGTTCACTTGCTCCATTTCACTTACTCTCTCCCTCTAGTTCTCTTTCCCACTGCACTTCATGCAGGAACTGCCTCATACTTGTGAAGTCCTCATTTTTGAAATTTGGCTTCTCCCGTCCTTCTCTTGCTGCTTCACTTTCCACTGTTAACTCTACGAGGTATTCAAAACTCAGCAGCACATGATCACTAGAACCATGGGCTCTATCGTGTGTAATGTCCTCTCTCTGAACTGTTCAAGGTGAATGCAAGGTCCAGCCTTGCTGGAACATCCTCTCTCCACTCTGGTTGTGTCCCTAACATGTTGGTGCATGAAGTTTTCCAGTACCATCTCCAGCATCTTAGCCTTCCATGTATCTGGTCCCCCATATGGCTCTACGTTTTCTCAGTCAATCTTGTGGTTGAAATCCCCCATGACGAGTAAACTTTGTCTTACCCATGTGGGCTAGTGTATCCACTAGCTAGTGTATCCACAATTGCTCTATTACTCTTGTCTTGGTGTATTGCTCTTCAGTGGTGGGTTGTACATCACTATCATCACCTATAGACCCCCAGTCTGAAGTGTTCCTACTATGAAGTCATCTGCTTTCCCTCTCTCCATTCCTCCCATCTTCTCAAAACCCCACTGGTTTTTGATGAGCAGTGCTGCTACTCCTACCTTCCCTCTGTTCCCTCTATCTTTCCTCAGGATCTGATATCCATTTTGAAAGATTGCATATATCATCCCCGTGAGCTTTGTGAGTGCTAAGATGTCTGGGGATGCCTCAGTGATTCGTTCTTGCCACTCCTCAGTCTTGTTACACCATCTGCATTTGTGTACCAGTACTGAATTTTGGGAGGAGGGAGGGGTTGGTGCAGACTGGGGTGTGTGGGAGGCAGGGCAGGATATTATGAAAGGCTGCTGTGATGGTGGCATTAGTGCTTTGGTGGGAGGAAACTGTGGAGTGTGGCTTGTTTCTGGTTATTGTGTTTGGTTGGTATGGGGTGGTAGGGGTTGAGTGGGTTCTATGAACATTTGTGTTTGGCGTTCCAATGAGGCTCAGTTTTACTATCTGTCGATGCCTGCCCTGTCTCTTTCCTTGCACTGGTGTCTAACTTCCATAGTCATTCTTTTTGTGCTCTCTCACAGACGAGGTACACTTGCTGATATTCTTGGGAGTTCTTTAACTGTAGTTTCTATTGTAGTATCCTGTTCCACACCACTTCTGTCTTGACTGTCAGTTTGAGAGATTTTTTTCCCTCAAGTACCCCAAAGTTTGTGAAAATTTGTTACCTGGGACATGTCCTCCTCTCCTGTTATTATTCTTGTTATTCTCTCCTGTTATTATTCTTCCCATTTCTTTTCCCTCCATATCTCTGGATTTGATTCAGGCATTTCCTTTGTTTCTGTTATCTTCTGGACACCCCAATGGCCTGATATTTCTTCTGCAAGGGACCTTTTAGCTCCTTCACCTCCTTCATCCCCCTCTTTATCCTCTGATGCTCTTGTTTCCATCACCTTGCTCCTTTCAGTTCTCATCTTTATTTCCTAGTTCAGCACTTCCAGTTCTTCCTTCAGGCTCTGCATCTTAGCCTCTGCAGCTACATCTCATAACTCTCACTTCTTAATCTCTTCAGATATCTTCTCCACCATTGTACTGCTAAAATCATTTAGCCTTTTCTCCAGTTGTTACATTTCACTCGAGATTTTCTGCCCATTCTTCCTTCTCAGAAGAGCCATCCTTGGTTCCCTTGCCTCTACGTCCTCCCTTCTGAGATCCCTCTTGTCTTATCATGTTAGGATGCTCTAGCAATCTACAGTCTGCAAACTTTGTGTAGAGATGTGTGTGTGTATTCGGCTAATTGTGGTTGCAGGGGTCGATTCATAGCTCCTGGCCCTGCCCCTTCACTAGTCGCTAATAGGCCCACTCCCTGTTCCGTGAGCTTTATCGTACCTCGTGTGTGTGTGTGTGTGTGTGTGTGTGTGTGTGTGTGTGTGTGTGACCTTGCTGAAGTATTTTTTTCTATGCTTCCTCCGACTATCGTCTCATACTGGTGCACATGACTGGCTGAATGACGCACATGCCGTGTATACACGAAGTTACAACATCACCATGGCCTTCACAGACCATCCAACACTACCATGGCCTTCACAGACCATCCAACACTACCATGACCTTCACAGACCATCCAACACTACCATGGCCTCCCCGACCATCCAACACTACCATGGCCTTCACAGACCATCCAACACTACCATGGCCTTCACAGACCATCCAACACTACCATGGCCTTCACAGACCATCCAACACTACCATGGCCTTCACAGACCATCCAACACTACCATGACCTTCACAGACCATCCAACACTACCATGACCTTCACAGACCATCCAACACTACTATGACCTTCACAGACCATCCAACACTACCATGACCTTCACAGACCATCCAACACTACCATGACCTTCACAGACCATCCAACACTGCCATGACCTTCACAGACCATCCAACACTACCATGACCTTCACAGACCATACAACACTACCATGACCTTCACAGACCATCCAACACTACCATGACCTTCACAGACCATCCAACACTGCCATGACCTTCACAGACCATCCAACACTGCCATGACCTTCACAGACCATCCAACACTACCATGACCTTCACAGACCATCCAACACTGCCATGACCTTCACAGACCATCCAACACTACTATGACCTTCACAGACCATCCAACACTACTATGACCTTCACAGACCATCCAACACTACCATGACCTTCACAGACCATCCAACACTACCATGACCTTCACAGACCATCCAACACTACCATGACCTTCACAGACCATCCAACACTACCATGACCTTCACAGACCATCCAACACTACCATGACCTTCACAGACCATCCAACACTGCCATGACCTTCACAGACCATCCAACACTGCCATGACCTTCACAGACCATCCAACACTACCATGACCTTCACAGACCATCCAACACTACCATGACCTTCACAGACCATCCAACACTACCGTGACCTTCACAGACCATCCAACACTACCATGACCTTCACAGACCATCCAACACTACCATGACCTTCACAGACCATCCAACACTACCGTGACCTTCACAGACCATCCAACACTACCGTGACCTTCACAGACCATCCAACACTACCATGACCTTCACAGACCATCCAACACTACCATGACCTTCACAGACCATCCAACACTACTATGACCTTCACAGACCATCCAACACTACCATGACCTTCACAGACCATCCAACACTACCATGACCTTCACAGACCATCCAACACTGCCATGACCTTCACAGACCATCCAACACTGCCATGACCTGCACAGACCATCCAACACTGCCATGACCTGCACAGACCATCCAACACTGCCATGACCTTCACAAACCATCCAACACTACCATGACCTTCACAGACCATCCAACACTACCATGACCTTCACAGACCATCCAACACTACCGTGACCTTCACAGAAACCCTCCAACACTACCGTGACCTTCACAGACCATCCAAACACTACCGTGAAACCCTTCACAGACCATCCAACACTACCGTGACCTTCACAGACCATCCAACACTACCATGACCTTCACAGACCATCCAACACTACCGTGACCTTCACAGACCATCCAACACTACCGTGACCTTCACAGACCATCCAACACTACCATGACCTTCACAGACCATCCAACACTACCGTGACCTTCACAGAACCTTCATCTACCACTACTGTTGTAGCACTGTCATTTGCCACTACTGTTGTAGCACTGTCATATACGTCTCTTCTGTTGGCTTAGGTCATCACTGCAACAGTCAGTTAAGCAACAGAGGCAACAGGAGATCCAAAG